GAGAAAATTATGTACACGAATAAAGGAACACAACGCGGCTGTCAGGAGGCATGACCCCCTGTCTTTGATATCTATACACGAGGACCAAGAAGGCCACAAGTTCAATCTGGAAAACGCGAAAATTTTGGCATACGGAGACACGCGACACGGAAGAGAATTTCTGGAAGCATGGTACTCTACGGCAGGTTCAATCAACCGGTGCATCGAACTGGATGCAATTTACGCACCTCTACGTGCGAGAGATCAACATCGCAACCGAAACACTCAAGGAGGACCGAATAATGGATTAACAACCGAAGAAACAAAGAACTCCTCGGAGTCAAATCAATAAAGGTCACAACCGGAACTCGGAAGGGCACTCCAAGGTCACTTCAACACCGACCAGACTACGACGGCGAGGGATGCCAAGTTCAAAGGTCACGTGGACATCGGTGAATGAGGACAGGGGATAAAAGAACAACCAATGAACTGCCCCGACAGAATAACTAATCGCGGTCAAAGGTCAGCCTCGGCTACCAGCACGTATATCAACACACACGTAGCACTACTGAACGCACAACCACTAACCCACCGCTACGCACAACTACACACTGATGATGTCACCTCGATTGGTGATGAAACGTTCGCAACCAAATTGCCTAGCTCAGCGAACAAGCCAACGACCAACTGTGTGCATGAATTTATATGACATGTGGTTATGACTGACTCGGAAAGCTTGCGGTGTTTCTTCTTCCTCCGCGCCGTTACACTCTTTTCTGAAACGAACACAAAATTTATTACCCTATTGCGACTTCTGAGCGCAAAAGTGTTGACCATAAACCGACGATGTAACTGTCTAAACTTGATGGCTGTAGAACGTTCGACAGAAAATCTCATTCTGGTTAATAGGTCATCAAAAATGTCTTCAAATTTTGGGCTGTTTGTATTAGTCGTGGATGGAAATAGCCCACAGACAAAATTTCGGGCCACATTTTTCTCCGGATTACTTCTGCTCGGTACTGAAAAATGAGGAACTCAGCCTGGAGGTGAACTTATATAGTGTTATCAGAGTTTCATAGCTGACCAGC